ATTCCCACACAAATGAACAGTTCATACCAAACTCGACACCGATACTCTTCCCTATCCCAATTCTCCAAACGCCAAACACCCTTCGCAAGAAGGAACCAGATTCAAGCCCGGCTCCGCCCCAAGAACCCATAGCCATTCACCCCCCTCGACTCAGCAGCCTTCCTGACGCCCGCCCACCCCAGCAGCCCCAGCGTGCCGAGGATGAACCCCCATACAATGACGCGGTCCTTGTTGCTGTCGCGCTGGAAGCACATGGTCTGGACATCGTCCTCCTTGGCCTCGCGGCAAAAGTCGATGCCGCGCGAGAGGCAGAAGGCCTTGGTGCACTGGGAGCACGAGGCCGAGGCGGCGCGGGGCGCGAGCTGCCGGTCCTCGGCGGCGCCGGTGTGGCGACGGCGGACGTTGCCGAACGGCAGGATCGAGGAGAAGAGGTCGCGACGGAGAGAGGTGGGGGGGCTCTGGTCGTCGTGTTGGGGGCCGAGGGGGACGATGGTGCTGTTCTTTGAGGCAGGTGCTTTTACAAAAGGCCGGGCCGCTTGGTCTTCTTAAATTGGAAGCGTTTTGGGAGGTAAGGAAGGGGGGGCTAGGGGGCAACTAAAGTTTTGCTGATGCAAAAGCCCCAAAGCCCTCAGATGTAGGAGGGGCGGAGATACTAGATGCTTTTGCGGGCACGGAGTAGGAAACTTGGCTTCACGCTGATGGATACCCCCGGTGTCAGACCCTCTCTAGCTAGTGATCTGGGAGTTGGGGGGCGACAGTGTTACAACAGGGGCCTTGGCGCACGGACCAATTTCGGCACTCCACGCCATTGGCCCACGCGACATCGAAAAAGTTCATCGACATTCAGCGTCAGAGAAGCTCCTGATTGACTTGCGAGCGGAATTGATCTGACAACCTCCCATCCATCACCACCACCTCCTCACCCACACCCACACCCACACCACAATGCGTCGCGTCACACATATAAGAGCCCCAAGGCTCCTGGTCTCATCAGCGCCTTCGACGCCCCTCGTCTCCCTCCGCCCCATCTCGACAACCGCTCCATCCTCCTCCGACACGACTGACCGATTCCGCAAGCTCCTCTGGAAGGGCAAGGCCCCGGGCCCAGCAGACCCCTACGCCCAGCAGTCCGAGTCGTCATCATCTCAACAACCGGACCTCGAGGCCTACGAGGCTGAACTCGCAGAGCTCGAATCTCAGACGAGGGACCTAGGCTCCCTCTTCCCAGACGCCGCCTCCCGCAACACGCGCCCCAGCCGGCCCTTCTCCCGCCTCAAGACGAGCTTCAAACCGACGCGCGCCCCGGAGGTCAATGATGTCGGCATCAACGGCTACACGCCCGCCTTGTCGGTCGAGGGCCTCGAGGAGGTCGGCGGCTACGAAGGCTGGTGGGAGCGCGAGGGCCACTGGGGCCCTGAGAGCGAGTACACGCCGTTTGCTGCCGCCGAGCGCGTGCAAGATGCTGCTGTGCTCGAGGTGCTGACGCGCCAGGCTGTCGTCGAGGCCCTGGCCTTCCGCAAGGAGAGGGACGAGATCAGGCTGAGCGCTGACTGGGTCGGCACCGACAGGGCGGCGCTCGACCGCGCGCTGGCGCTCCGCATCAAGATTACCGAGGACGGCGTCGTTGCTCTGCGCGGCAACACGAATGCCGTCGTCAAGGGGCTGGCGCCGACCAAGAGGCAGCTCAAGCTCGCGAGGAAGGAAGAGCAGGCGCAGACTGCTGGCGAAGCTGTCCTCGCTGAAGATGCCACGATTGAGGCTGAGGAGGTTACCGTGCTGGGACAGCACGTCTCGCCCGAGGAGGCGCGGGAGCTTGTCGCCACATGGGATGCCGAGTGGAAGGATATTTCTCTCGCTGACCCTCTGCTCAAATTTGCCGTACGTCCCCCGCTGTTCTATCCATACTGAAACAAGGACTGACAGCATCCAGATCAACAAGCGTGTTTTCCAGCTGACGGGCCACCTGCTCCCCGACCCCAAGCTCGCGCGCGCCCAGACAGTGCGTCACATTCTCAACCTAATCGTGCGCCCGCCGCCGGCCAAGAAACTCGTCGAGACGCTGCAGCGCCGCGGCGAGCTCTTTGCGCTGCCCAACGTGTCAGTGCATGCGCGCCGCATCACGCCGATTGACCGCGAGAAGGAGGTCGGCCGATGGAAGCTGATCGAGAAGGAGCTGGCCAAGAGGGATCTACCCGTCACGGGACACGCGGGACTGGAGAAGCACCGCGAGGCGTCGTGGGTCCCAGGGTGGTCTGTAGAGAGGGGGATGCTGCTGATGCTTGGGTGCTCGTGGAGGTGGCTGGATGTACGGATACATTGTACACTGTGTAACATATTGGGTCTGTCAATTCGTTGGGCCGACATTTGAAACGTGCAGTGATTTGCCATATTTGCTGGTGCTTTGGATATCATGTTACGAAGCAAGGCAACTTTGTTGCTTTTGCACCCTTGGCTATTGTACTAGAAACATGTCCCTGATGCAGCTATGTACTACTGGCGTGCAGAGCTGACTATTCTTCCTCCTCAGGCTCCGCCTCCTCTTCCTGCTGCTCCTCCTCATGGTGGCCATCTGCCACTGTCAGCGAAAGGTCACGTACCAAGGCAGGCCAACATACCGAATGAAAAGGCACCGTCGTTGTTCTGCAGCCTCTCAGCAAGGTTGATATCCGCATCAATCGTCTCGCCCTCGACATTGTACAGCTTCGCGCGCAGGATCGGCACGCCGTCGTCGCCTTCGAGCTCAAACGAGATGTCCTCGGCCGAGTTGGCGAAACCTTGTGTTTTTCAGCGAAATTCGTCCGTCTCTGGGCATGACTTCTCGTGAAACATGTGCACACCAAACCGACCGTGTCGGGATACCATGACAGAAATGCGAAAAGCTGGGGGAAAAGAGGGACAAGAAGACGCACCGCCGCCACCCCACTCGAAAGCACCGTTGTTGTTGCCGATGCAATCGTTGAGATCAAACTCGGCCTCGACGAACTCGCCCTCGACGTTGGCGAGCTCGGCCTTGAGCATGTGGCCGTCTTCGACCGTGATGCCTTGGGCGCTCTCGTGGAAGGGCATTGTGCTGGTATTCGATTCGGGAGAAAGAGGAACTTCAAAAAAGGAGCAAACTATGAACGAAGAGTTTCTGGGTTATGCTGTTCAGTTGATTGAGCTTTTTTCCGTTTCTACACCTACAGACTCTTCTGGTTCCATCTTTTATATTACAGACATTCATCGTCGACGAGAGGCCTCCCTCTGCCGCAGATACGCAGGAAGCAGCCATGGCACGCGTTTGTTCCCCAGAGAAATGGTGCCTCCTGCCTCCGGACGAACGAGATTCACCCTGTGTCGTCTTGGCTGCGCAACGTGGGCGCTCTTCAGGCCTCCGCCAAGACGGTGCTGGGGCGTCTGCGGTGCCATATCCGCCATACCAAGACCGCTCCAGATGTGGTTGCCCGTTTCTGCCGAGTGGCCGCGATGGCCTCGTCTCGGCGGAGGGGAGGAGGGGACAGGAGAGGATTTGGGGGGTTGTGATGCTTGGCTGAGGGGAGTGCAGGTGATGACGCGGCCTGGTGGGTTTACAGTAGTATACGCGGGAGCGACTGGAGTGGAAGTTAGGAGCAAGCAAACCAGGCATCTGTTTTGTAGGTTGTGGTGTTTCTATCTGTCAAGGCTCGCAATGTCCCAATGTGTCGATGCTGTGCCGCGACAACAGGTTCGTCGTAGCCGTTGGGCGGGCAAAGTCCCTTGAAGAAGAAATGGGCATCATCACTCTGAAAAGCATGACATGCGCATGTCTCCTCCAAAGCCAAGTAGGCAGCCAAGCCAAGGCCGACAGCACAAGATTCGTGATACGTATTGACTCGCCCCTCTGGGCCCTACATCAGGGGAAGGTCGGCTGCTGAGTGGCCCCAGCTGTCTCGATCGCTGCCAGCGGAGGCCGCATGCATGTGTAACAGAGGGGTTGTTCGGGCAGGTGAGCCTATGACGGGCATCATGCGGGCCGCTGATGGCATGTCGTTGAATGAGCTCGAATCTGGGTCGACATTGTGGTGTGGTGGACTGACAGACGGAGGGTAGCGCGCGGTAAGGGCCGAAGCGCGGTGGTGTGGTTGGGTAGCTGATGGTGTTTGGAGCATTCTCTGAATGTTGACTTTTGGTCTCTTTCTCGAATGTCCAACGCCATTTTGTTGATGTTACGCAAGTTGTTTCTCTTGGGCATATGAGCATTTGGGGATGCCGTGGGGTCAGCACTGAGAGTCATGGTGGGGGCGGGGTCGAGTGCCACGCCCGTTATTTGATGGAAAGCCATAGTCACTGGTGAGCTCAGCAGAACAGTCACAGGAAGCAGTATGTCAGTCAAGGTGTGTTTCTCGATTGATGGTATTTTAACTTCGTTTCTCATCATCCCCCATCCTCCTCATAAACGACACCCAATCTCCCTCATGCTCAGTGTAGAAACATGTTGTTTGGTGGTAATGTGGTTGTCGGATCGAGAAGATGCTTATTTTCCGCAAGAGGCGCAAGAGCCTGGAGGTGACATGTTAGAAATCTACGCAACGAAAACCTGAAACAGCTACGGGGTGGACGAGAACATACAGCTAGAGCCGCAGTTGCAGGAGGAAGCGCCGGAGCAGCCGCAGTCACCCTTCATTTTGATGGTTGGTGTGGTGGTTGATGGGAAAAAGGTAAGTGATTTGTTTTGTTGATTGAAGACTTGTTCGTTGATGCAGAAGAGAAAACAAGACGAAAGACCGGAAATCCTCCCACCCTTAAATAAAACAACCCCTCTCCCCATATCCCATCGGGAAAGACCACCCGCACGATACGGTACGATGCCCACTCTGCGCGTGCCGTCCCTGCGCGAATACTGCGTCCACAGCAAGCACCCAGACAGTCGCGAGGAAATGGTAGTGGCGACCGACCACCAGACCCACGCCTGTCCAATGGCGGCCGCTGCGTTCTTTGTGCGGCGACAGGAACCACTCGTCGCCCACTCATTCCTTCCCGATCCCACCAAGCTCTCCCCCCCCACCTGCGTCACGCGGCAGGGACGAGCAAAAGCGGGATGCTTGGTGGGGGAGGGCTGATTGCATCCACCAACACCATTGGCCGATGCGGACCCTTACCCCGCTAGGACCCTTCGAAGGCCGACAGTGCCCCCCCCTCGACGTCCTTGCACTAGGTGACGTCGGGGGTTGATCATGTCCTCCATCTGCAGGTGCTACGCCCCCTGAGCGTTTTGTGCTGGATTCTTCACCAGTGGTCTTGGGTCGGCTGATTGGCCTTCCTTTCGGAGAAGGCGTTCCAGCCCCGGAAACTGCGTGTTGCCATCTCGCCCTTGCGCCAGCTCTTCTCGATTTAGCTTTTTTGTTCGTCAACGACTGCCGAAGCAAGGCAATTATGCCGCGCTTCATACATCGGTGGCGGCGGCCTTTGTGCGTCTGCCTCGGACTGACGTCGTGTTTCCTTTGCGATCATCGAATCAGACCGAGGCGAGAGAAAAAGAGCAAAGATCGGACGTCTGGTTTCCAGGTACAGAATCATCGGAGACCACCGGGCGCCTGCTGCCGGCTCGGTTGCTTGGACCCTCTACGGACGTGTACCTGGTTGATGTGCCTATTCTACTGTGCATCCGCAGCCAGTGTGTCGCCCGCTGCTGCGCTATCGGCCTTTTACAGCGCCAGCGCATCATGGGGCCGAGCTAGGCTGTGCTGGGGTTGAGCTCTGCTTCAGTCGTCTGGAACGTGGGGCGGACGGCTGCATTGAGAGGAGCGCATTGGGGTTAGGGAGTCGAGCTTATGTGTGCGGCATGCTGTTGGGCGCGGTACAAGGTCCTTCGAGAAGCTGCGCTGGCCATCAAAGAAGCTTCTGGACTTTGGTGCCTGCACCAGTATTGACTGTGAACTGCATGCCCGCAGATAAACGACGTCACCGACTCACCGAGAGGATGTCGACAGCCCGTTCCACGCATCTATCATGATAAGGTAGTTCACCACAGATAACCGCAAAGCATCATAAGTAGAGATGATTCGACATGGATCATCAGCCCAGTCTTGAATGTCATACGAAGTTCGAAGCTACATACACTTTCCCCTTCCACTTGCCATCAAGTCATGTATCTGTAGTATCCCAGCTTGCTCAGCGGTGTAACCCGTACTTGACCCCCCTTTGAAGTTTCCACAGCCCTTTGGCGATTAGTGTAAGGATCTCGGCGGCCATCGACAATTTCAGCATGGTACACCTCTTAAACCATTCTGTTGAGATGTGTTGACACCAGTCGTCTATTTGGCTGACGACCCTGACGGCGACGAATCTGTCTCCCTCTCGTCTGTCCACGTTTCCTCCGTGCCATCGTCGGTTTCTTCATGCTGCTCCTCAACCTTGGAGATCTCTCCGGGAAGCACGCCAAGACATTCGTCCAGGAAAAACCCGTATCTGAGATACGGGAGATGACCAGCGCGAATTGCGGCCGCAACGGTGGCCCAAGACAAGACGAGCACTGGCATTAAGCTTTCCATATCGCCTTCTTTCTAATTGGGGTCCATAGAAGCATACCAAGGCCTCGCGTGTTCGGATGTCGCATCGATATGGAGGTGCTCGAGAGTGGCAGGAAGGAGCGATCCAATATTGATCTGCTTCGCCTGCCATGTCGGACCGAATTCAGCTTCCATCCACAAAGAGACAGTCAAGGATCGAAGTACTGGAAAGTGACTGGGCAAGTTGAGTAGGAAGCCCTGGAAGACGTTCGGGCTCGCAGTGTAATTGGCCTTTTGTTCCACTCTTAAGCTCACGAGCTTCGGGCACAGGCAAGTGTCCACCAGCTCGTCGATGAAGACCTGCACTTCGTCTCGACTTTCACCGCAAAAGCTCACGGACTCGAGAGTAATGTTCAGGCGTTCCAAGTCTTGACAAGATTCGAGGACATCCAACAAACCGGCGGTCCTGGCCAGGGTAGTCGACGTGTCGAGGGAGATGAGTTGGAAAGCTTCTTGGGAAAGAGGCCTTGCGAGAATCGCACCCATGTGCCTGATGCTGCGAAGTCGCGCCAGCGTTGGTAGGAAAACATGGCATTGAGGCCCTGTGGAGGGTGCACTGCTCTGAAAATGCAGACTTTCGAGTTCTGGGAGAAACTTTGAACTTGTATGATCATCGGCTAACAGACAGGCTATGACATGGTCAAGTTTTGGTGCATCGGCCATGCAATGGTTGGTGAGATCTTTGTGCTCCTCCGTCCTGTAGATCACTGACAGCGCTTTCACCTTTGGTACCAAGTAGAACGGGACAGGGATGACAAATTGCAGTCTCGAATAGTGGCTCTCTGGGTCCAAGTCTATGTTAGCCCAGGTTTGACGGATATTACAGTAGCTCAGGGCTTGAAGTGCTTCAAAGGTTGGTTCGTCGAGATCGCTGATCAACTCGATGTGAACAAAGTCAAAGCCTGTGACAGCTTCGATGCGCTTCAAAATGTCCTGTAGGGTCAGGATATTGTTGCCTGGGATTTCGCTTATAGCGTCTGCCCAAGCCTTGAAGGTCGCCAGGACCTCGTCGTAGTCCTTGCGCGATGGGAAACACTTGGACCTGCTGTAACCGACTCTGAGAGACTGGACTTTTTGACAAAGGGAGGGCGCTCTCAGAAGACTCCGCAAAAGACGCAACATCTGCAGATAACTCTTCACAGTGATCTGTGAAAAGAGCAGTGGCTTAGAGATATCTCGAAGTCGTTTTGAGGTGAGGCAGAGATTTGCGGTGCAAGGTGTCGGCGCTCTTGGACCGTCCCGCCAAGTGTGTACGTCCCTATTGTTCCAGGGCTGGACAAGGTACTTCGCAATGATAATGAGCACCTCGTTGGGAAGGCTCAGAAGTGTTGATGTGACGGGCATGTTGGCTACCTCCTCAAAGCAGTCTGTATTGTACCCCGATTAGTGACCAGAAGCTTGCATGAAGGTTGGGAAGGTCAGAACAAACCTTGACTTTGTGCATCTCCAAAAAAACACACCCCTGGGTTCGAAGAAAACTGAGTAGCAGAGGTTGTTGCCTATGTCGAGTAGCTTGTTGATCCACGTGTTGAGAAGAATATTCTCATTCTCAGACGGCTGCTTATAGTTTGACTAGGACTGCTGCGAGATGGAGACTGGTTGATGATGTAGTGCTTCTGGAGGTGTGCATAAGTGAAGAAAGAACGTAGTTCACGTAGACTGTGGAGTGTCTAAGGAAACTCATGAAAACATGGCACTTACAAGCTGATGTCGGTCGTTTGACTGAGGGTGTCTCCCGCTTCGGGTGCCTTCCGTGCGAAAAAAGAATGCAGCGAGGCGAGAAAAAGTCTGCGCCTTCCTTTCAAGTAGGTGCTTTACCTACCATGTAAATCTAGACTCGTGTTTGCCTAATCAATCGGAAATTCTGAAACTGGAAAGATATCCACCTGTTCCTGCCTCACGGAGATGTGCAGGATACTTCGTGGCTGCAAGGTGCTTCCCATTCCCACCACATCAGACTTTTCTACAGATATCTATTTTTGACGAACCAACCGCCTTCTGAGAAACAACTTCTGCTAGATGTCAATTCAACAACTTCTATGACTTACACATACCTCAAGAACGGTCAAGAAACGACCCGATCTGTCTCTTCAGCCCTGGACTTGTCTTTACGATCAAATCCGTGACACGATCAGTCTGATCAAAACAACATGACGCCCAATTCGGGCCTGCTGCGTCTTCCCAACGAGTTGATCATCCAGATTGCCAAGTCATTCCTACAGGATACTGATCCATTCGAAGAACAAAAAGAAGCACCGACCACACCATTGCGCTGCCTTTGCTTGACTTGCCGGCACCTGTTACCCATTGCGCAGCTGGGCTCGTTTCTCACATTACCCTTGAAGATGTGTATTCAACCATCCTTGTTCATGAGAACATTGAAGGAGAACAGCACCTCCGCAACTACGTTATCAAATGTCAATGTGAGATATAATCTCCTTTACACAGCCTCGAAACGCTCTTGTGCCTCCTTCACAAGAGACATCGAGGCCTTGGAAGATCCTCGACGCCAGCACAAGAAATTCCCATGAGGAACGCAGGGTTCTCGAGCAAATTAAAAAGTCAACGCGTTGCCATGCCGGCCACCAAGCCTGCACCTTCGGCTTGTGGCCAGGATTCACCGAAGGACACGTCACATCTAGCCCAAACATCTGCACCTGCAACCTATGCCGTTATAGCATTACTCAACTTGGACGACTGGACCCTATTGAGTTCAACAAAAGGTATTCGGCTCTGCACGTTGCCTATGCCATGCTTTTTTGCATGTTGCCCAACGTGCGAAGATTGAAATTCTTGGTCCACGAGATATCGCCATGCGATGAAGACCACTCCCGGGATCCCGACGGCTTCGGCGAAGCCTTCCTCAATGAGATCCTGGCCAACCTTCTTAAGAGTAGCGATACTAGATCATTAGTTCTCCCAAGACTCAAAATCGCGACTTTCACCCTCGACAGCCCGCCGAACGAGTGGGGACGGGCCATACTGAGCACATTTTTCCTCCCTTCGCTGCTCACGCTACCTTCGCTGAGGCAGCTTGTTGGACGCCTAGACATCAATCCTGGCGCGGTAGGAGTACGTCCGGACAAACATACCTTTATACACATGGATATGTCGTGCGAAAGTATCGACGTTACAGAAAACCTGCTTCAATGCTTTCCGGAATGAAGCATTTAAACATTTCGGGCGTCTATTGCGGAGGCGATAACAACACCGAATTCTATGCCAATACCTTCTTCGACGCTCTTTCTACCAATTGCCCCCTCCTGGAAAGTCTGGCATTACGAGACAGTGAGTCCGATTACAGCTGGCTTGACATGACAGAATGTCTCTCTAGCCCTTTACGGCTACCCAGGCTCCGGCGTTTGGAACTTTCTTCACATTGGATTGAGGAGATATTATTTCAGCCCCCTCACCCTGATCGCTTTGACGTGGGGAACATGCTGCCTTCCAGCATCGAATACTTCAGCCTTTGCGATGAGCAGGAACGGCGGTATGTGGAGCCTCAGAACATGTCGGTCGTCGAACCCTCGACAGCAACACTGCTGGGCACGGAGCTTTCAACATCGATACGACGCCCTTATACCACTTTCGCCGCTGCGGCCTGGATTAGCGTGGCATCGGCCATTCGGGATGGGCGTTTGAGCAACTTGAAATGCGGTTTTTTCGTCACCCGGGACTTTGGAATTTTACCTGCTCAGATTGACGAGGTTATGAAATTGTGCTCAGGTCGTGATCCGGACTCACCATGCTCCCCAATTCGGGATGAGGATGGGGAAATTATTTCCATGATATTGTAACAAGAACGTGATAAAAGAAGTTATCAATTCTCGATCAATCAGCTAGGAAAGCTACATCAACAGTAGACAGACAACAATGTCAAGAAACAGAACGGAGATGATCGTTCCGAGAAACCCTGATGCTCAAAGCTTCGAGAAGACGCGTGAAAGTGCTTGCTCTGTTAACGGCAGGTAGAATAGTGCGACGAGGGCGAGGAACCACATCCGTTGTCGTACGTCCAAGCCCGGACACGAATGTTCATCTTCGTCAACATGATCTCTCAATCTTGATGGGACATCAAAGGCATTGTGCGAGATGTGTGTCCTTTGTGGACAGAGTGAAGGGGGACCGCACGCCTTTTGTCCTTTCCTTTAACAAGGGAACCAAGATAACTACCTCGCGAAATCTTTGTTACGGGGCTCAGGAAAGAGCGAAGACACGGAGGTCGATGTCGAAAGACGTCTAGAGACAACGCTGTCTTTAAATGGCGACCCTTGGACCGACTCCTTCACTCGAAGCAAAGGTTTCCATCGACAAAAAAATTGACATATCGCCCAACCCGAGATAGAATGGTACATCCAGGTAGGCTTCTGGTACTGGCGCCACGGAAGACCGTCTTCTGCCTCGAGCACTTCCTCCAAGCATCAGGACAGATACAGGCCAGTCTCATCAAGTACCGAGCAAGCGCCCTTACAGAAGTTAGCGAAGCGCCAAGACGTAACCTCAAGCGATGCCACGCCAGCTCCGGACGTGTCAGCAAGCGAGGCCCTCCAGCACCGCCGAGGAGGGTCCAGCCACGACGAGCTGTGAGAGGTAGAGCCCCTGCCCCTGAGACGCAGGAACCGACATGCTGCCCCACTGCAGTCCACGACCGCGTCGATGCTGCCTCGATGCAATCTCGCGAGGAGACGGGCTGGAAGGTTCGCGGGCTTCGTCAGAACGGCGTCCCCACGATTACGAGCTGCGTATTACCGAAGGTCATCGTCCAGGAGCTGAGAACAGCATTAGGACACCTTCGCGGGAGGAAGAGGAGCTGCGGCAACGTCGGAGCATGCACTTTCGGCGCGGGAGCATGGATATGTGTCTTTTGTGATGCTCAGCAACAGGCATGGCGGGCGTCACAGGAGATGGAGGTCACGTCAACGAAGCTCCTCTGCCCGGAGCCAGCTCCCGTGGCAGACATGGGTTGTCAGGAGATGGCGAAGCAGTCTGCCGGGGTGGTTCGGCCTGTGAGACCACGGCAAGGCAAAATAGACGAGCAACGCGTGGTGGCGATCGGTCCACTGCGCTTCGTAGTGGACATTTGCGACGGGGAAGCCAAGATGATGTTCGTGCCGACGGACAGTTATTGATGCCTGTAGGCGATTGTTAGCGGGAATAGTTGAGCCACAGAACGCGAGATGAGGCAAGGAACAGCAGCGCAAATGTGACCAGGTTTTGGTGACCCCAGGACGCAGAATGCGCTGTACTGTCTGTGACGGTGTCTGTGATGGCGTCTGTGATGTTTTTTTTTTGATGGCGTCGGAAGGAATGGGGGCCGATTCAGGTCTCGGACTGGCTATCCTGCTGGCTGGGTCTGGTCTGGATGACTGTGTTTCAGCAACGGGCGATTTAGTGGTGCTCCGCGCCTCGCACCAGTCGAGTCATCGGCTCCGAGTCACAGATCGTCGTGGGACCCATCTCTAAGTCATCGAACTATAGGGTCCAAGTTGAAGATTCTCCACCATGCAAAAAATGACAATTGACATGTCAGATTTCGGGCAGGGGAGAGATGGGACGACGTCGTGACTTTGGGATGGCAGAGAAAGAGTTGGGACATTTGGTGAGGGCCAATCTCCCTCTGATGATCTGTTCAGCCAATGGCATCGCGCAATCCGAGGGCAGTGGCTGACGAAGGCTGGAGTGGAGTAAATGCCCTTGGACACGGCCAATCTCGACCTTTCTTTTCCCCCTCTGCACAGTGTCTCTGTCTCCATTCCAGTTCCAGCATCCGCCAACCTGGGAGAACCTGGAAGAAAAGACATGCATTCATCCACCATCTATCCATCCATTTCGGGATCGCCGCCGTTTGAAGCCATCAACACTGCCGGTGCCCCGCCACATCCCCGACAGGACCAGCGCTGACAAGCTGACGCCGACGACCCCCGACCCCTGAGATACCCGATTTTTCTCAACGATAGCGCTGCGCCGGTGTCGACGGCGCTGCCTGGGCGTTGCCAGTCACAAAGGAATACACGAGAGGGTAGAAGAAAACCAACGGCGGATGTGTCGCCCACCCCTGGCCCTGGGGATCGGCATGGCTGCCCTACCGATTGGTTCTCTTGGGATGAGACACGGCGGCCACCGCTCGTTTGTCTTGCATCGACGTGACAGGCACAGCACTGCACGGTACCCACGCTACCACTCTTTTCGACCGATGTTGTGTTACGCGACTAGTACAGAAGACACACCACCTTGTCTTGTCGCCTTGGGCCGTTTTGGCACGTTTGACCGATGTCCTTCGCCCAACAAGGAGGCCCCCAGATTGAGGCGCGGGCGAGGCAGCCCAGGGGTGGTCCAGAACCGCCGATTAAATACCCAACTCCCAACGCCCGTTCTGTCTCTGTCCAGCAGCAGTGTGCCCTCGCGCTCGCTGCCCGTTCTGCCGCTTGCTTGCCGCCTGCTGTCACCTCGTTTCGCCGAGTCCATTCCCCCCCCCCCCATCAGCCGCAACGACCCCTCTCGATCTGACTTCACCACTCACTCGCCCTGCCGCGTGTGACAGACTTTTGTCGCCTGCTCAACCTCATCTGCTGCAGACCACAGCGACACGACTCGCGGCACTCGACAACACAGCGCAACTCGTATCGTGAGCAGCAACGTTGCTCGGTAGCGCGACAACTGCATGGACGTCACGACATGACCAGGTAGACAACGAGTCTGCTTTGCTTCCCCGACGGTGCCCCGAACGGTGACCCACCGCCATGGACTTTGGCGACGATTCTCGCACCGGCTCCGCGCGCGACGATGGCGATGGCGGCACGCTGAGCAAGCAGCTCGGCAACAAGGGCGATTCCGCGTCCTTGGCCTCGCTCACGAGCACCCTTCTGCCCGTGCTCATCTACTCAGCCGTGTGCCTCATCATATTCTGGTTCTTCCGCAGAAAAGTGCAACGGGTGTACTCACCGCGGTCCATCCTGCACAGCCTGTTTGCAGAGTGAGCTTGAACGACGCTTGCCTCGCCGCTGGATTTCGAAGGCTGACTTGGCAACAGGGAGCGAAGTCCACCTCTTCCGCAAGGATGGTTCAACTGGCTGAAACCCTTCTGGAAGCAAGGCGACGACTTTGTTCTGAACCATTCATCATTGGATGCCTTCCTGTTCTTACGATACCTCAAGGTGCTTTCACTCATCTGCTTCGTCGGTTGCTGCATCGTCTGGCCTGTGCTCATGCCTCTGCATGCAACCGGTGGAAATGGCCTGACAGAGCTGGAGCGCGTGACGATCGGCAATGTCAGCGATCCGAACACATTCTTCGCTCATGTTGCCGTCGCATGGGTCTTCTTTGGTATTGTCCTCTGTTGTGCGTACTGGTTTGTTCCTTTTTCTGACACGAACCAGGCTTCATTCTCTTCACCATCTATCGCGAGTCGATCTACTACATCAACCTTCGCAACGCCTATTTGCTGTCGCCATACTACGCCAACCGACTATCATCTCGCACCGTTCTTTTTCAGTGTGTACCGCCAGCTTATCGCGATGCTGCGCGCCTTCGTAAGGTCTTTGGTGACTCGGTGAAGCATGTTTGGATTCTCCGAGACACTATCGATCTCGAGCACCTCGTCGATGAGCGCACCAAGACCGCCACCCGCCTAGAGAGGGCTGAGATCCAACTCATCAAAATGGCAGATCGCGCAAGAAGGCGCGGTGAGCGCGCCGCACCCGCACTGCCGGAGCACCTGCTTCCGCCGACCGACTCGCCTCACCATCCCGCGGCAGCCATACCTGTGTCGCTCTCCGACGCATCGCGACCCTCCTCACCCTCAACATCCACGACGCCACTCCCAACTGGCACGCCTTCAGCGCCTCCGTCACCGAAGCTTTCTGAAGATCCAGAGAAGCACGCTGGCTTTCCCCAAACACTTCCCGACGTCAATGGCTCTGTTGCCGGGCAATGGATCCCGGCCGACAAGCGACCCCGCCATAGACCCCTTGGGAACTTCCTCCGTAGCGTCGACACCATCAAGTGGACGAGACGCCGCCTCAAGGCGCTGAACCCTGCCATTGCCAAGCTGCGGCGCAAACTTCACCGCGGCACCGAGGGCAGGCCATTGGAGTCGGTCTTTATCGAGTTCGCCACGCAGTCCGACGCTCAGCGCGCATACCAGACGCTGGCCCACGATAAACCCATGTTCATGTCGCCACGCTTCATCGGCATCCGGCCTGACGAGATCGTTTGGGACTCTTTGCGCATGAACTGGTTTCGCTCGTATGGCGCGACGCTTCGCCATGCTGGCGGCGATTGTAGCTGCCATCATCTTCTGGTCCATTCCATCGGCCTTGATCGGAACATTGACCAACATGAAAGCTGAGCCAGATGGTTTTCTTTTTGGAGTGGATCATGCTACTCCCGAAAGTCGTTCTCGGGGTCATCCAGGGTCTACTGCCTGCGTTGGCGCTGTCGTTACTGATGGCTATCGTGCCATGGATTTTGAGAGGTAAGCACATGATACCGCGAATATCGGCGCTTTTTACTAACGCAATCAGGATGCGCTCGCGTCGCTGGCGAACCTTCGCTATCCGATATTGAGCTCTACGTGCAGAGCTTTTACTTTGGCTTCCAGGTGGTCCAGGTCTTCCTCGTCACGACCTTGACGTCGGCCGCGTCCGCGGCCTTCAGCCAAATCCTCAAAGACCCCCTCAGCGCGAAAGACCTGCTGTCCGAAAACCTCCCGAAAGCGTCCAACTTTTACCTCTCCTACATCCTCATCCAGTGCCTTGCCGTTGGCGCTGGCAACCTCCTTCGCCTCTATGATCTCCTTCGCCATGGCATCATGGCGCGCTTCGTCCAGAACCCCCGCGTGAAGTGGCGCGTCTGGAAGAGGGTGCGTCCTGTCCACTGGGGAGGGTGGTTTCCCGTCTTTACCAACATGGGAGTCATCGCGATCAGTTACTCCTGCATTGCGCCAGTCGTTCTCGGCTTTGCCTCTGTCGGCATGTACGTCATCTACCTCGTCAGCAAGTACAATCTGCTGTTTGTCGAGGATTCATCCATCGACACACGCGGTCTTTGCTACCCACGGGCTCTCAAGCATCTCCTGTTCGGCCTCTACCTCTCCGAAATCTGCTTGGTCGGCCTCTTCGTCCTCCGCTCCGCCTTTTACCCTATGATCTTTATGATCATCTTCCTCATCTTCACTGCGCTCTTCCATTATAGCCTGAGCGAGGCCTAGCCCTCTGCTGGACAACCTCCCGCGGACTTCTTGCTCTCGAGATCGAGGAGCTCAACAGGACCGACGACTTCCCTTCCCCTGGTCTGTCCGACATCGGAGTGGCCGACTCTTCTCCGCACATCTTCGGTCAAGACGGCGACGAAGACGAAGAAGACGACGGTCCGGAACACGTCACTCTGGGCAACCGAGGGGGTTCCAATCCAGGTCTCGAAGGCAGCGCCTCGCTGGGCAGGACGTTCGCCAAAGTCTCGTGGAACGCGTACGTCAAGGCCGTCACAGCCCAGCTCCACAAGATCGGCCTCGGGCCGGTCCTCGAGCGCATCGACGCCATTGTCAGGCCAGAATACAGCCCGACTCCGAATCCGATCATGCGGTTCCTGCACCCTTCGACGTTCGACTCGTTCGCGCACCTGCATGAACTGATCCCCAAGGATCTTCCAGACCCAACATCGACATACCCCGAAGACTACGTCTTCAAGACATATTACCCGCCCGAAATGTGGGAGCCCGCACCGAAGCTGTGGATCCCCAAAGATGAGGGCGGCGTCAGCGCGCAAGAGGTGGAGCATTGCGCACGGTACGGCAAGGTTGAGGCCACCGACGAGGGTGCCTGGCTGCAGGAGGATGGGAAAGTTGGGTGTGAGGTCGAGCAGGCACCATTCTGGGAGGAGAGGGTACTCTATTGAGAGGCCCCCATGGATTTCTGCATACCGGAGCGTGTTTAAAAGCGATACATACATAATGAATTAATCTTGAATCTACCCCAGGGCGTCGTGTGCAATGTGATCCACATTCTGTCGACTCGCACTTCTTTCGATGGCATGACACTGTAATTACGCCATCACTCGGAAGCAGGACTTCACACCACACGGGGTTCCCCAATCGGCACCATCTCCCCTTCACCATCGCCCGCCATCGCCCTAAGCACCTCCGTCCCCGAGGCCCGCGTCAGGAACGGCGCCTCGTCATACCGATGGAGGTCCTCCCCGCTGACCGTCTGTGATCAGGTTGTCTCCTGCGGTGGCCGTGCGCGCCGAGGCCTCGGCTGCGGAGAGGAGGGACTCGGAGGGCGGGTCGCTGGGACCAGGGGGGGATGTTGTTGGCTGTGGGGAGGAGAGCGCGGTAGGAGGAGGCTTGGGTCGAAGAGTGAGGGCTGCCCTGCGGTAACACCCGAAGGCGTAGAGCGCAGCTTGCGGTGCACTAAGGGCAGCACCAACAGAGTCAATGACAACAGGGCGTAAGAAGCACTCCACAGTTCGACGGAAAACCTACAAAACAGCGGAGTGGTGGTGGCTCATAGTCGGGAGCCAGGGTGTCTTGAAGGGAAGCTAGGCTGCTGTGTAGCAAGGCTGCGTCCGAAGTAGTGCGCGACGATACTGGAGTCGTTCGGAAACAGGAGCATGTGTAAGATTTTGCCTCAGCAATGCATCATGTTAACCTTTCCCGAGGTCGTCATCACCACCATGAATATTCCGTAGAAGAGAAGGTGATGAGCGGTGTTTTCAATCCGTTGCAAGCTAAAGCTTGCCGCTTCGAATAACGTTTTCGTTCGTGCAAATTGAGCACCAACTGAATCTACCCATATTTCACCGATCGTCTTTACAAGATGCAAGGTAAAAGTGCAGGATTCTGATCCTTTGGCAAAGTCAATGGTATGTTCCTGAATCATGCTTGGCTGGAGTGGCCATGTCCTCGCCACCAGGTCTCGTCTAAGGATGCATTCTCTCTATTTTGGAACACTGTTCAGTACTTTTCGCCATCTCGATCACTCACCTTCACCACTATTGTGGGTGGCGAGTCGTAAAATATGTCTTTCCCTGCCACAACTCTTATCACATTATCTGGTGGCCATGTCTTATCCATGCCCGAAGCGTCAGTCTCACCAGATTGAACGAGCACGACATGGTTCTTTCAGACTTCAACGGGAGGCGCACGACGGCATTATTTTTTGCTCCTTTCACAGTGAGAGCTACAATAATGATCTGAAATTCGACACAAGTTTTGTCTGTCCAAATAGCGGTCTTTGTGATTTTGGGTACGTTCTTTGCCTCCAATCGTTGCATCTTATTGGGACTACGTAAACATAGATCATGGCATTTGTGTCGTGGTGCTGTGTGTTTACTATCGATTTGTCTTGATGTTATTGTCCATTCTCTCTATGCTGATGTCATTTTATTACAATATCCTGACTAGGTGCCCTTAACCTAGTCTCTGGCTTCCTGCAAACATCCTCGAGATGCCCTGAATTTGTGTCCGACTAACCCGTTTGCAATGTCTTGCCGCCAATGCTGAGTGACTTCGCTCATAGGCAGTCTGCGTCTACCTGGACTAGATTCGGCATGGAGTCCCGGACAGTCTCTCTTCAAATCGCTAGAGGCCAGCATCTCCCGAGACAGCGTCACTTTCCAGCTCTCTCAAAGTTCATTGCATCCTGGCAGACGATTGGCATGTCATGAGGCAGTGGATTTTATCCTCAAAGCCGGAGGTTTGCGTCCAGTGGGCCGGCAGTCCAATCCTGTGGGTGTCCAGCGGGCCGGCGCTCTGCGTCCTGTGGACCGGTGGTTGGCATCTTGTGAATGGTGTTGTCTCTAGCCGTATGAGCTTCTTCCTTCTAATATGGCCGTGTCCGCATTCACTCCTCTAGGCACTTCACCTGCCTCACCTGTTCGTGCTTGCATCTTGAGTGGCGCTTTGATTGGTCCGTGCCTTCGGATTCACATATCTAGATGCTTTCTTAAGAGAGAAACTGACCTGCCTTCCTTCATCCACCTCTAAGCCTCGCCACCCTACCATTATTAACTGCTATCTTCCTTCATCAACCACGAAAGAACAAACACACTACCTATATAAAGCAAACTCTTAACCTCATGGCCGATAACCCAACCCCTCGGAGACCTGTCTCCGCAGCCAGCCGCACAAACCTGCTTGACGATAATGAGAAGGCGCGTCGCGTCGTTCTCACCAAGTCATACATCCGCGCGGAAGCCACCTACACTCCCACCATGCTACAGCTCATTAATCAGCGCATCGAGAACAATGGTTTCCGGCGACTCATCTCCGACAATGCCGTTTATCAGCGCATAATGAACTCCCTTAAGGACAGCAACAGCCCGCAGAATGAGCGACACCCCAACATTGTCGATTTCCTCGCCCTTGAAGCCATGCTGCCCGTGAACTACAATAACACCTACAACCGCTCCCTCTCGGAATGGTACCAGCGCTGCAAGGTCCCCGAGTGGGCCGATAACCAAATCCTCGTGGAGAATCACCTCTGCTTTGAGCATGAAATGGCCACAGCCAAGGCTTTCCTTCACAAGCAGCTCGTCCAGAGCAGCGCTCCAGGTCAAGCCAAAGCCGAACTTGCGGAGAACATCACCGAGGAGATCAACAGCCACTACTGGCGCACCGATCCGAAGGACCACTACCTG